ACGGATCACACTCTCTGCAGATGCCTCCAGCAATGAGTATTACCTTGAGCTGAGGTCCCTGACAGCTGCAGACACAGCCACATATTACTGTGCCCGAAGACCACAGTGAGACAAAGCAAAGGAGAACTGTACAAAAGGAGGAAGGCGTTTGCTGCAGACTTTTTGCTTTTCATTTTTTTAAAGCAATCCATCATCTTTAGGCTATTTCTGTGATGAATGGCCCTCTTCGAAAGGTGCAGCCTAGATTAGAAGGTTCAGAACCTCAAGCGAGACCAATTTCCGTAAAAATACACAAGAAACTTTATTAAAAACAAAGCTCTGTAAAAGGAAAAGCTTTGAACAATTACACAAATTAAGAGGCTAAAAAATAACAAAATTATCTTATCTACCTAGCCAACAGAAACACTTAAGCATAAATCTTAGCAGGCTGAGAAACAAAACAAAATACCCTCTAAAGTCCGAACAGGTGCTGACTGTCCATGTTAAGATTTCTGTATGCTCGCCCCAACCCAAGTTTTAAGAAAACACTGACTATGGATGTTCACCCCTTCCACCCAATGAAAATAGCACCTTCTCCAATTACGTGTCTTTGATTACTATCTGACACTGGCCTTGAGGCCTTAATGTGAGGCATTTGTGTTTAGGCTCATTATTCCAGGAATCCTAACAAATTCTCATACAACCCTCAAACTAATCTTAAAAGGACTTTATCACCGCAATTTCGCACATAATATTGAGAGCATACCACAAGATACCCTCTCATTTGTTAACATTGGCCGAGGTGGCCATTTTGGTAGCTCCCCAATTTTTGTTTTAATTTTTTGCAGTGACGGATGGCCTGGGAGATGGTATTTTTTGTGGCATCCCCTAAACTGTGAAAATGTCTTTACACAGACATGTGTCTGGCACCTTCATTATACACTTTTCATCATGTGCCAAAGATGCACCTCTTTACCTTGTCCTCTAAAACCTGAGACACATGCGTTTTAAGACCTACTCTATTCTTCTTACAGAATCAAGGACTTATAGAGTTGAAAGGGACAATAAGGGTCATCTAGTCCTAGCCCATTCAATGCAGGGTAATTTTTTTAAAAAATAGTTAAATAGTTATTGTTTCAAACTGGATTTTAATGCTGCTATTTTAAATTGTTGGGACATGCCCTGGGACCTTGAGGTGAATAGCAGGTAATAAATGAAAATCACCATTAATGTTTGGCACTCCTGAGTGAATGAGCCATTACAGCTCTGACACCTAAAAGAAAAAGGTTAATCTTAATGTGCTGCACATTGCACTTCTAGGCCCCCAAGGCCTTCCCCTGAAAATAACTTCACACTGGCATGTAATTTTAGTTTAAGTTATTGGGCAAAATTTAGGCCACAACTTTTTTGATTACAGCAAATTAGTGGTGTTGGCTTAGGCATTGGCAACAGACTATAACTGACTCCTGCCTTTCTGGCTGGTAGTCTGAAAGGGTAAACACCAAACGAGGGAGCAACATCGATGATGACCGACCGAAGCTCACCATGTGGTCCTGGCATGGCCCTAGCCCCTCAAGCGGACTTCAGACAAGATCCAGGACCCCCAGATTCCTTTACCGGAATACCCCATTCCTGGAGGGGCAGGTGATGGCCGCACCTCCCCTCCCTCACTGCCAGGGATGATTCATAGAATAGAATCATAGAGTTGGAATAGACCACAAGGGCCATCGAGTCCAACCCCCTGCCAAGCAGGAAACACCATCAGAGCACTCCTGATATATGGTTGTCAAGCCTCTGCTTAAAGACCTCCAAAGAAGGAGACTCCACCACACTCCTTGGCAGCAAATTCCACTGTCAAACAGCTCTTACTGTCAGGAAGTTCTTCCTAATGTTTAGGTGGAATCTTCTTTCTTGTAGTTTGGATCCATTGCTCCGTGTCCGCTTCTCTGGAGCAGCAGAAAACAACCTTTCTCCCTCCTCTATATGACATCCTTTTATATATTTGAACATGGCTATCATATCACCCCTTAACCTCCTCTTCTCCAGGCTAAACATGCCCAGCTCCCTTAGCCGTTCCTCATAAGGCATGGTTTCCAGGCCTTTGACCATTTTGGTTGCCCTCCTCTGGACACGTTCCAGTTTGTGGTGCCCAGAACTGGACACAGTACTCCAGGTGAGGTCTGACCAGAGCAGAATACAGTGGCACTATTACTTCCCTTGATCTAGATGCTATACTCCTATTGATGCAGCCCAGAATTGCATTGGCTTTTTAGCTGCCGTGTCACACTGTTGGCTCATGTCAAGTTTGTGGTCAACCAAGACTCCTAGATCCTTTTCACATGTACTGCTCTCAAGCCAGGTGTCACCCATCTTGTATTTGTGCCTCTCATTTTTATTGCCCAAGTGCAATACTTTACATTTCTCCCTGTTAAAGTTCATCTTGTTTGTTTTGGCCCAGTTCTCTAATCTGTCAAAGTCATTTTGAAGTGTGATCCTGTCCTCTGGGGTGTTAGCCACCCCTCCCAGTTTGGTGTCATCTGCAAATTTGATCAGGATGCCCTTGAGTCCATCATCCAAGTCATTGATAAAGATGTTGAATAAGACCGGGCCCAAGACAGAAGCCTGTGGCACCCCACTAGTCACTCTTCTCCAGGATGAGGAGCAATGGACAGAAGAGGAAGACAGGGAGATGACGCGGGAGGTAGAACAGGGGGCTTAGAGCAGTCAGGGAGAACAGGGGCTCAGAGATGCTGGAGAGCCCCACAACAACCCAGAGACAGAGGAAGAGGAAGAGAGGACGGAGAGTAGCCAGGGAGAGCAGGCGTTCAGGGATGCTGGAGAGCCTTGCAACCATCCAGAGGCTTGGGAAGGAAGCTCAGACTCAGGAATGGAAGGGGCTTTCAAATTAGCACAGAAAAGGAGGGAAGTGAAATGTAAGGATCAAAGACATTTCACGCGATTCCCACACCTACTTTGTTGGCACGAGAATTGTAGGAAGTCGCTGACTCAACGGGTTTGGACGCGCAATTCTGGACTGTAGCTGTTCTTGTATATATGTAATAAAGACTGTAAATATCACACTGATTGTGCTGGAGTGTTACTGGGAAGGGGAAAACCACTTTTACACCCACATTTCAATAAGCCAATGCCTAACCGCCAAATCTTACAAAGTTGTGACGATTGCTAAGGGGGTAAGCAAACCAAGTGGCTACAGCCAATCTGCCAAATGGAGAAAATTCCTACCCAGCCCCTGTTCCAAAACAGGTGACCCAATCCAAAGCAAGGCCAAAGCAGCACTGCCTAAAATTAGGAAGGGAAGGCAGGTGTTCGGCAGCACGAAGCAAGTGCCCCCAGTTATGTCACGTTGCCACTTTTATAGGCCCCAGGAATTGCACCAACTGCCCCAATTGGCCTAAACAGCCTGGCAGGATCCTGAGGCCTAATGGTTAAGGCTTGGGCAACGCCCAGCAACAACTCTCTCAGCAGGGGTGCCTTAGAGGCCTGCGTGCAACCAGGACCCTCATTAAGGAGGATCCCATTTCTCATCTGCCCATGACTGATGGACACGGCACCTCTTGTGAAACCGGATTTTAAGTAGACCATCTCAGCCATAACGCTACCAGACTTGAGTTGAAATGTAATTTGTCTTCATTAAATGTACTCAATGTTTTGTAAAAAAATAATGAATTGAGGCAACTTATTGAATTCCATCCCTACCCACCTAAAAGATGCCCCATTGTGTCTTCTGCACTATACATTTAAAGCAATACAATCCCACCTTTAACATTCATAGCTTCCCACAAATAAGTCTGGGAACTGTAGTTTGCTGAAGATGCTGAGAGTTGTTTGGAGAGCCTAACTTATTTCAGAACTGTAATTTCCATAGTTCCCTAGGAAGAGGGATTGATGGCTAAACAATTCTGGGGATTGCTGGACTACAGCTCCCATTATCCCTGGCAATTGACTATGCTGGCTGGGAGTGATGATAATTGTAGTCTAAAAACATGGGGGGGGGGCACCATACTGGCTTCCCCTAATTGAAAGTATGTGTTAGACCCTATACTTTCACCTTCGACAACCAAATGTCCACTCCCCACCCCCACAATATTCAGAAGGGTTTTCAAACACCTATGGACTCCCAGCATGGGGGTAAATTAAGGTGGATGAAACATTTTGATTGGACCTAATATCATGTATATGAAGTGTAATTGTGAGAAATTCACACCAAAATGCCAACAATATTTAATGAGAACCTGTTTAATAGTAGAAGAAGAAGAAGAAGAAGAAGAAGAAGAAGAAGAAGAAGAAGAAGAAGAAGAAGAAGAAGAAACAAAGGTAGTAATAATACCAATTAATGTTTGGAAAAATGAGAACCTGAGAGAAATAGATGGATTTGTTAATCCCTAAGAGGCATTAGGTACCATTAGCTACCCCTCCCAGTTCAGTGTCATCTGAAAATTTCATTAGTATCCCCTCAGTTCCTCTTTCCAAGTCTTTCTTAAAGATGTTGAAAAATAATGGGCCCAGGACACACCATACTTGCAAGGAAATTGCAAAGTTATAAAGAGCAAGCCATGCGTTTTTTATTGGTTTAAACATCTTTTAAAAAACATGTCACCTCTCCTGCCAAAAGGTCAAACATAAAAAGGTCAAAACGTTAAGAGTGCTGACATGATTTAACAGGATATCTTGATATACATCTTGAGCACCTAAAATAATAATTCAGAGGAGACTCTTGTATGTGAAAGGCCATAACTCAGTGATAGAGTACAGCCCTTGTATTCAGATGGTGCCCAGTTCCAAGCTCAGCATCTCTATGTAGGGCTGGGACCCCTGCCTAAAATCCAGATAGCTGCTGACATTTACTGTATACAATACTCAGGCAGATGGACGAATGGTCTGATTCATAATAAGGCAGATTCTTATAAAGCTGAATGTGCCTGCCCTATGGAGAAATATGCAAATAGTGGTAGCAGACACTTCTATAAATCAGCCTTGTTCCAGTCAAACAATACTAGGTGGATCAACCTTCATCTCCCCATTTCAGGAAAATATCAAGAAATCATTTTTATAATATCTCCCAAACGCTTAAAAATAATGACACTTTGGCTTCATTTGATGATTCTCATTACAACGTGGGAAGGTATTTTCCTCCTTTTTAAATCTGGAAAAAAAATGTTTTCCTTGGCTGTAATTATAAACAATATCTTACATATTGATCTTTACGATGAATGAAGCAATTTAATTTATCTGATCCTAACTGCTGCTGTTTTCATTTTTCACATTTCCTTTGCAGGTTTATATTCACAAAGTGTTGTTCTGACACAACTGGATTCAGAACTGAAGAGACCTGGAGAGTCTGTCAGACTGAAATGCGCCACCAGTGGGTTTGCCCTGAATGACTGGTATATGAGCTGGATAAGGCAGAAACCAGGGAAGGGACTGGAATGGCTGGTGAGCTACTGGAAACCTTCAAAAACCAATTACTATTTGCCTGCCATCCAAGGACGCTTCACCGCCTCCAAGGACAGCTCCAATTTTTATCTGCAAATGAACAACCTGACTCCTGAAGACACTGCTATGTATTACTGTGCGAGAGACACAGTGGGAGAAAATATATATGTGATCATTCAAAAACTCTTGTAGTGAAGCAACTCTAGGAGGCATTGTCTAGTGGGGGAGCTCAAGAGGCACTGTCATCAGAATTGAGGGGACTTTTTGTCTTTTCACCAATAAATAACACTGAGATTCTTTTTCTCCCATTTCCCACATGGGATAACACAGGAAGCAGATGGCCTACGAATTTCACCAGAGCATGACATAATATGAATGAAGAGATGCTTTTGTTTTTTTGGCACTATCCTCTATCTGAAGATTAAAGAAAGTTAAGGTGGTGGTGGTTGAAAAAAGAGATTGTGCTGCTGGTTTTTAACACCCACACAGAGCAGAGTATAACTCACAAAGTGCATCTTAATAATGATTGTCATTGGCAAAATATTATTATATGTCAGGTGTACATAATATGTATCATTATAAGCCTAGAAGGTCACTGGAACAACCTGGTCAGAGTCAAAGAAGGTATGAAGTGTGAATGGATCTCTAAGGCAGAAGACAGAGGCATATTAATTACTCCACAACCAAAACTGATCACCTAATGAGGGCAATTGACTTTGTGATTTTAAGTACACAAGTACATAAGAATGTATCATCCTTACATATCACCCATCAAACTTAGCCTATTATCTTTCAGTGCTTTCACTGTACAACCAGATACATTCATTCATTCAGCAGCAACAAAGATTGTGTGTAGTTCACTCTCCTTCTTCTGTTTCCAACCTTATACTTCACATCCAAATCATAACATATACCAATCAAATACCTCGTCCTGTCTTAGTAACACAAAGTCAATTGCTTGGTTACTATGGACATTGCACAAACAGAAATCAGAATCTCTACTGGCCTACACTTTGAGTACCCAGATTATGACTCTGAGGCAACCCTTAGTTTGTGTATTTATGTTGGGGGATATGCAAATAGAACTGTCGTTCACCTCTATAAACGACATTGTTCTTTCTGCTCTGCATTTGGTAGGTCAACCCACAAGGCTCCTGTTTCAAGAGGAAGATCACAAGCAATTGTCTTTAGAGTTATCTTTCAAATACTAAAAGAAAATGCAATTTTGGCTCCTTTTGATGTCTATTGTTGCTGTGTGGGAAGCTATTTTGCCCAGTAAGTTTTCTTATTATCATTAGGGTGATTTTATTTATTTCATAGCATTTATATACCCATTGATTGTAAAAGACCTCAAAGTAGATTAAGATGATTCCCTCCTTTCAATCTCCTTTCCAGGGGTCTGTTCCCAGGTTGTTCTGACTCAAGTGGGTTCAGAATTGAAAAGGCCTGGAGAATCAGTCAGACTGCAATGTGCTACAAGTGGATTTGTTTTGACTGACTATGGGATGAATTGGATAAGGCAGAAACCAGGGAAGGGACTGCAGTGGCTGGTGTGGTACTGGAAACCTTCAGAAACCAATTACTATTTGCCTGCAATCCAAGGACGCTTCACCGCCTCCAAGGACAGCTCCAATTTTTATCTGCAGATGAACAATCTGACTCCTGAAGACACAGCTGTGTATTACTGTGCAAGAGACACAGTGGAAGAAAGGGTACCAGCTATCATTCAAAATCCCTTGTGATGAAACTACTCTGGAAGGCACTGTCTGGTGAGGGAGCTCAAGAGACACTGTTGTCAGAACAGAGGGGCCTTTTTAGCTTTTCACCCAGAAATAATACAGAGATTCTTCTTCTTCCATCTCCCGCATGGACAGGAAGCAGATGGCCTATGAACTTCATCAGAGCAGAACATGGTAGTAATGAGGATATGGTTCTGTTTTGTCATAGGAAAACCACCATCCTCTATTTATCCCAAGATATAATGAAGCTTATTTAAAGAAAAAAAAGTTGCAGTGGTGGTTTTTAACAGCCTCACAGAGCAGACCAAACATCACAAAATGCACTTTAAGGATAACTGAAAGGTGACAATTAATCTATTGCACAAATCCACCATATCTCTAACAATAAGTCTAGAAGGTCAGTGAATCAAGTAATTGGGGTGAAGTTATTCAAGTTGTCTGAAGTGTACTAGAGGGAAATCAAGCTCCACACAGATTATTCTACAACTCAATAAGAAGGCTTCTCTTGGCCAGATTGCTCCTCAGCTGTCCCATATTAGTTCTTTTTGAATGCAGCAACAAAACTTACTTTTTTTTAAAAAAAAAGGGTGGGGTGGATCTCCTGACTTTTAATTGGAATTTAGCCCACCTTGGGGATGTGTGAGGCCTCTGATAGAATCCTAGAGCTAGGCTTTGAGAAGGAAGTGGGGGGGGGCTGTCAGAGCCCTCAGGCCTCATCCCCAATGCTTCTGCCGCTACCCCAGGAGCTACGTCAAGTTCCCTACCCTGCCTGGGGCCACCACACACATTGGACCACCATGTTCTAGTAAGTCAAAAGCTCCTAAAGTCTATGCCTAACACATCTAATATTATTATAGAATGTATTATATCATTTAATACTTTCTTCTTATTAGTTGTTCCCTGCTGTTCAGTTCAGGCCTTACCACCATGAAGTAGCATTTAGGGGAAAATATGCAACCCAGCAAACCAGAACTGGAAGCCAAGATGGAAAAGATCTGTACAGCCACCATTGTGAGAGAGCCAGTGTGGTGTAGTGGTTAAGAGCAGTGGACTCGTAATCTGGTGGACCGGGTTTGATTCCCTGCTCCTCCACATGCAGCTGCTGGGTGACCTTGGGCTAGTCACACTTCTCTGAAGTCTCTCAGCCTCACTCACCTCACAGAGTGTTTGTTGTGGAGGAGGAGGGGAAAGGAGATTGTTAGCCACTTTGAGAGTGGCTACCTTAGGGTAGTGATAAAGCAGGATATCAAATCCAAACGCTTCTTCTCTTCTATTTTCCTCGGGTGCTCAGGTAGGCTGGAACAAAGGAGATACTCAGGGTGCAAAATCACACATGCTGAAGGTGATGAACTTGGCTTCATTAAAACTGCCTGGTAACTTGTGGGTCAAGAATGCCATAATGAAGCTGGCAATGGTCAAAAGGCCTAAGTACCTGAGGACACAATAAAACATGGCAATGGACCCTTCATTACATTGTACAATGATTTCTTCAGTTACTGACTGCATGTCTAAGCTTTTCTGCTCCCTAAAGGGTTGAGATATGGCAGCTTGATTCCAGATTTTAAACTCTAACAGGAAATGGGGACTTATAGTGAAGTAATCGGTTTGACTAGAGAACACAGTATACAGGTAAACCCAGAAGGTCTCGTGAAAAGAGAAATGGGGTATTGGTTCGAGATGTCATGAATGAGCCAGATCCCAAGGAAGGTTTGCAACCAGCTGAAGGAAGCAGCCAGGAACAGAGAGGGGTAACTGCCAGGCAGGATGAGCATCTGCTAGTGCCAACTCCCCCACCCCTTGGAATGTGGATTGATAAGGGAATGACTGAGAGTGAGCCAGAACCCTACCAACACTCTCGAGAAGTGCAAAATGCTGCGAACGAAGAAGGAAGCAGTTTATTAGGTGGGAAAGAGCTAAGAGACAGACACTCAGAGAATGGAGATGAGGTGGGAGCAGACCCTCTCAGGTCTCGGCAAATGGGAGGGTTTCAAGACAGGAAGCCAAACTAGAAATATCAGAAGCAAAAGTTCAGTTGCTTCTGGTCTGGCAGGAAGCAGTCTTCAGAAGGGTCATCTTGATTGATGAGGCTGGTGGCTTGTTAGAGCTATCCGGCGAACTCTGTTTTTGCAATAAATCTTCCTTTTTAATTAGGTACACTAGCTGTGTTATTAAGACGGGATCCAGGACTCCTGACACCAGATTTGGGTGGTGAACAAACACCAAGAAGAAACTGGGGTCCTATGCCATATCTCCTCATTTCGTCCATGAGGCCATTATGGCTGGCCTGTGCCCAATGCGTTCTACACACAATATTTTAGATTGTGTCATATGTGAGGCAAGATTGTTGGGTCTTGTTGAGTCTCTTGCAAAACACAGCTTAGTATAACACTTTCCAAGAGGGCCATGTAAAGCTCTTTGCCGAGTGCTACATTGACCCATGCATTTCAATGATTTTTCCAAGACCTGATAGTCATCTAGTTATCAAGTCCTGCCCAGCCTCTACAAAGTACTCCACAAGAAGGCATTTTGACAAATTTGCACTCAGCTGATTGTCTGGTTTTGTGATGTGCCTTGTAAGGTCCAATTATGTCATTACCATGATAAGTGAAAGAAATGTAGACAGTCACCCACTCCTGCCAAACTTGGCCTACAAAGGGTTGGGAATATAACAATCTCGTCCAGTGTCCTGATCTATCTCATGGTGAAACCATTGCTTTGACTAGGGAAACCAAATCTGTGGTAATCAAGAAATGCAAACCACATTTCCTTAAAAGTAGAACTGAGTCTTATATTTTCACCTCAGAAGTATGAAGAAGAAGAAGAAGAGTTTGGATTTGATATCCCGCCTTTCACTCCCTTTAAGGAGTCTCAAAGCGGCTAACATTCTCCTTTCCCTTCCTCCCCCACAACAAACACTCTGTGAGGTGAGTGGGGCTGAGAGACTTCAAAGAAGTGTGACTGGCCCAAGGTCACCCAGCAGCTGCAGGTGGAGGAGCGGAGACGCGAACCCGGTTCCCCAGATTACGAGACTACCGCTCTTAACCACTACACCACACTGGCTCTCAAAGGTATGAAAAGGTAGAGTTCATTTCTCGGCATTTCTTGGCAAACCTCTGGAATGATTCTTAGGTTTCTTTGGGCAAGTTTATGAGAGTATTTAGGAAAACTGTACTTTTAAGGGAATTGTCTTGCTGCCACCATTAAGCTCTTATCACATGCCCCTTCCAGCAAGTCCCGTTAATGCTATTACACACACAAAAAGATACACATACCCATTTAAGATGAACCTCCAAAGGGGGAAAACGTTTCCAGCTGCAGACTTTAGGCGTTCATGAGGTGAAAGGCAATGGCTAATGTTTCTGGAGGAGGACCTAATATGCCAGTTCCCATTCCTTCCCTTCCCCTTTATAACTATAAATGATTTAAAAGAGATTAAGCAATAAACACATTTCCAAGTTTTTAAATAATGAAAGAGGGGAGGCATGTTTTCAAAATGGAGATTTATTAAAGTTAAGAAAGAACAAAGGAAGAAAGCAGAACAAATGCTTATTTATTGAGCACAAGTAATAATAATAATAATAATAATATTAATAATAATTTTTATTTATTTATTTATACCCTGCCCATCTGGCTGGGTTTACCCAGCTACTCTGGGCGACTCCCTTTCGAATATTAAAAACAGAATACAGCAATAAGCATTAAAAACTTCCCTAAACAGGGCTGCCTCATTCAGATGTCTTTAAAAAGTAGGATAGTTGCTTATTTCCTTGACATCTGATGGGAGGGCGTTCCACAGGGCAGGTGCCACTACCAAAAAGGCCCTCTGCCTCGTTCCCTGTAACCTCATAGTGAGGGAACCACCAGAAGGCCCTCGGCGCTGGATCTCAGTGTCCGGGCTGAACGATGGGGGTAGGCACACTGTGAGTGACAGAGTTTATTGAGATATCACCTTTAGTTTTATTTAAAATAACAACAAAACCATATGTTCAGAATGCCCCCCAAAAAGTGCACATTTCACATAGAAAATACATTACAAATGTGTCTGTCTTAATCAGGCACATATTTCAAAACTGAGGAAAACATTGGCCATTACCTCACATGATGTAACGACATAAATGTCACCCCTCATTTTTGCAATGTCTTTTTGTAACTGAACACTTTTTCTTATTTGCTGTTAGCTTAATAAATAAAGCATCCCTACAGACAGTGGTGTTATCTTCATTTTTTTTTAATCATAGAATCTTAGAGTAACCCTGTCCACCCCCCTGCAATGTAGGAATCTCAGCTAAAGCATCCATCACAGACGGCCATCCAAACTCTGCTTAAAGTCCTCAAAGGAAGGAAAGTCCACAACCTCCGAAGGGAGAATGTTTTTCTGCATGTTTAGTCAGAAACTCCTTTCTTGTAACCTGAAGCCATTGGTTTGATTCCTACCTTCCAAAGCAGGAGAAAGAAAGCTTGCTCCATCTTCCATGTGATTGTGGTAAAGGTACCTCTGCCCGTACGGGCCCGTCTTGACAGACTCTAGGGTTGTGCGCTCATCTCACTCTATAGGCCGGGAGCCAGCGCTGTCCGCAGACACTTCCGGGTCACGTGGCCAGCGTGACAAGCTGCATCTGGTGAGCCAGCGCAACACATGGAATGCCGTTTACCTTCCCGCTGGTAAGCGGTCCCTATTTATCTACTTGCACCCGGGGGTGCTTTCGAACTGCTAGGTTGGCAGGCGCTGGGACCGAACGACGGGAGCGCACCCCGCCACTGGGATTCGAACTGCTGACCATGCGATCAGCAAGTCCTAGGCACTGAAGTTTTACCCACAGCGCCACCCACGTCCCTCTCTTCCATGTGATAGCCCTATATAAATTTGAAGATGACTATCATATCTCCTCTCAGTCTCCTCTTTTCTGGGCTAAACATAGCCAGCTCCTTCAACCATTCCTCAGAAGACTTGGCTTCT